CGCGGACCCTGCGGCTCGTGCAATGGGCACAGGCAGCCGGCGGCTGCTTAAAGCCACAGCCCTTCATTTAGGAGCCAGCGGCGAGCCCCAGCGCGAAGAGACGTGGGCCCGCGCGCTCGGGTATCAGCAAAGCGATGCTGCCACCCCCGCGGATAACGGGGCTTATTTTTAGCTTACCCAGCTTGCACTCTTAATTTGTGGATGCCAAAATAAACGACGGGAGGCCTGAGCTGAGACAGCGAGCCCCAGGCACACACTGGCCACCGCGACCAGCCAGGCTTGCGCTCGCTGCGCGCCTCGCACACTTGTGCTTTCACAGCTCAGACCACACAAAATTCACACTGACCCCAAAGCACCTCCAGCAGCTACGACACGAGCCGCTTCGGCAACACCGCGGCAGCTGGGTGCCCATGAAGGAAACCTCCACAGCAGGTTCCTCCACCCCATCTCCTGCAGACTGACCCAAGGCTCCTGCTGGCACCTCCTCACCTGGGTAAGAGCACCGCAGGCTCACCCCCACACGCCAATAAGCACTAAAACACACTGCTCTGGGGGAAAGCAAGAGTTAAGGAGCAGCCATGCGGCTGTGGTGACCACTCCTGGTTGGCTTTGCATCTGCCACCACACGGCTGAACAGCTGAGATCTGGTTAACCTGCTCTCAGGCCGACAACTTGTGATGGGTCAATACTGCTTGCTGCATTTACACAGGGACTTAGCCTTTCTTATTGAAGCTGCAGCACAGCTTAAAAACTTATAAAAGACTAATCCAAATGAATAAAGCTATACAACCTCAGTTGATGCAAGTGATAGGGAATTATTTTGCAGATCTAAGATAGGGCCATCTCTTTACACAAAATTCTTGTGTATTTGACCTTGCAGACTGTAAAAGGTCTACTTTTGACCGCCACAGTTTAAGCAGTCCTAGCAGCACTCATTTGATCACTGGAACACTTGAAGGGACAGTAAGTAGTTGTGTCATAGCTTGGTGGTAAACACTCAAACATTTTTGCAGTGTTAGGTGGGCTGAGATTGAAAGTCACCCTTTATCTACCAGAGCAGAGCCTCAGCAGAGCAGAGAGTTCAGTTCTAAGTCACCTTCTTTCCCCCACTCCCTGGTTGGGAAGGAGATGAGTCATCCTGCTCACGATCAGTGCCCACACGGACACGGCACTGATGAAGCCGTGGATGCTGCAGTGAGCTATTTGAGCTGCATCATTTGCACTGTGCACATAGCCAAGTAGGGAATTTTTAGAGTAGTTAACTATATACTTCTTATTTTCACATCTTAGACACCTGATTACATTTTCCAAAGCTTTTTCAATAACTTTATCCATCACTAATTTGGCATACAAACACACTAAGCAAATAATTTCCAGATTTTCTTCCCTTCTCTTTACTTCTTAGGTTGCATATTCATTCCCTATTCTAACTCTCACGTTCAAAAACGAACAAGCATCCTTCAACCTGCTTTGTTCCAGCCCACCTAATCAGTCAGTAAAACATCTAATGTTTTCCCCTCAACCTCTGCTGGACATTTTGCTTAGAGTCGTAAGCCCACAAGGCCAGTAGCATAGTCCACAGAACATTTTATATTTAAGCCAAACAGTTGGATGAGAAAAGAGCATCGGATATCAGGATATACTGAAGACTGATGTGAGACTAAAAAACCCACCATAATATTGTTGCTCTACCACAATTTTTTTTTGTTTGTTTGTTTTTGTTTTTAAGACTTTTTGCATTGTGCTGCTCTTAACCCTTTTTGCTTTTTCTTGGTGCTGTTTAACCTCATGCCTCCACCTCCAATCATGAGAGGGTCTAATCAAAAGAAAGCAGCTAGCCATAAAGAAGAATAGGAAGAATAAGTTGGTTGTTTAACTGCTTAACGACTGCATCAAAGGCAGCCACATTAAATATCCAGCTTGACCTAATTGTGCAGTTAATTTAGCATTACTTTGTCTAGATTCTGACAGAAGTGAGGTTCTAGAGGTCCTTGAGGATCTCCTCAGTTAAATTTCATGTCTTCAAAACTTGACAGTTTAAGTGCAACGAACAGCCAAAGACCACAATCCAATCTACACCGCCTTCGATATTTCTTGTGAAGACTTATATGCACATACTTTGGATTAGAATATCAAACTGCTTGGCTCTGTGCACATGAACTTTTAGAAGCTTTACAAGCTTCTAGCTGACGATCAAACTACAAGTCAAAAGAGCAAACTCAAGAAGCAGTAACACAAGGAGGAGCCATTTTGGCAGTAGTGTTCTCTCCAAATATACTTGGCAGTAAAAGAAAGCCAATTCCAGCAGTATTATCCCTGCTTAGTTGCTGAAGACTCAAGAAAGACATTTACAGCAGGTTACAGCTGCATCTGGAACAATCTGAGTTTATGGCAAACTATCATAAAAGATGACTGGGTATCCATTTTTCTTATATCAAAAGAAGCTATTGTTTTATTTTCTTTGTTATATTTTCTATATCAAAAGAAGCATGAGCAACTGTAGCACTTTAGCCAAGACAAATCTGGAAACTATAGTCTTACCACCATAAAAACAGAGTTTGGGAACAGTACTGTCAAGGTGCACCTGCGCCATCAGATACTACCAGAACAGTTTTTAAGCACAAAGCAGGAGATTAAGATTTCTTATGTTTAAGCTTTCTGAAAACTTGACAAGAAACTCCAGCATGACGTGTGTCCAATAACAAGGGCATTTGTGAGGGCGAGTTATGCCTCATTACAGCTTGATGGAAACAGGAAAGCAAAAGCAAAGGGGTCCAAAGCAGGGAGGGTAGCGAAGACAACGGCTTCAGGATCACAAGGATGACAGTAGGAACAGAGTCAATTAGAAAAATCTTATATTCATGTTTGTATTACATGGGCAGGTTAACAGGCTTAAGAGCATGTTTTTCCTGGCAGTGAGCTTTATTTGGTGTAGCTTGGAATGCAAGCAGACCCAGCCTAGTGTCATTTTAGGGTGAAGGCACATCAATGGCTGAGCAGTTGGCATTGCACCGCTTTAGAAGTGAGAAGGGAAACTCAACAAAAGTCCAAGCTCCAGAAAGAACAGAAAGGTATTTACACCATGCACACAAGCAGCCAACCTTCCTGGCCACATGTCTGCAACAAAACTTCACACACGCGAGAGACAGGATACCTCCAAGAGCAGAGACTACAAATTGTTCCCAAGTGGGAACGCACAGCTATTCCCTAACATCCCACAGCTCCACTGCAAACCCCCAAATGGGGAGGTGGGCAGCTTAAGGGCAAATCACCCCAGCAACCTGTGAGCCTGTTTCCTTGCGACAAGGACAATTTCCCAGCGGGATTAGGTTTGGGATTTCTCAGCTGCTACTGAGGGGACGTGGTCCTACTACGGGACACTGCCTGCTTGCAAACCAGCACGCCAGAGCCACAGAGGTGCTGTGACTGTCTCAGGAGCCCCAGTTTCCTCTTGCAAGCATTTCTTCCTACATGTCATGGACTATAAACCTCTTCTGCAAATACCCAGTGCCAAAGGCCAAACTGCAGCAGAAGATAGATAGAGTATAAGCACCTAATAGGCTAATGCTGTCCATGTGTTGGCAATTATCCATACTTCATAGTTTACATCCCAAACATACCTACTCCTTTTAGAAATGAAATTCTTATCCTGCTGCAGTTGTATGAAACAAGAAAAAATTCCTTAAGAAAAAATATTTAAAAACACTTATATTTATGTACTAAAAATTGATTTTAAAAGCCTAATTTTAAGTAGCTGCATGAATATCCATATGATAAGATATTAAGCAGTCACCTGGTCTGCACTGTGCAGCATATCACCTCCTCCAGGATTTCTGTAACGTTTCAGACCTCTGAGCGAGCATCAAGTAATGGCCACTTAACAAGTCACTCAAGTGATCTGCTTTCCAGCCTCAGATTCACGTTCCCAACCCTGCCTTAGAACTGTGCCCATGTGGAGCCTTTGACCACAAGCTTTTAGGCATTGACAGGTCTGTACCCTGTCTTGTGAAACACACTGCTCTGCTCCGCGTCGAGAATGGAACAGACCCAACTGGCTGGGTGCTCCTGAAGTGTCTCGGGATGGGAGTTGGCCCATGCTGGAAAGCCTGTGAGCAGAGGCTGAGCAAGGCTCCCGTGGTGCTGCTGCAAAGCTGCTGCTCTCGCCAAGCTCCCCACGGCTCGCGGCAGCGCAGGACGGGGGGCAGGACAGCAGGAGAGCTGCCACCACCACGGGACACAGCTCTCAGCTGGAAGGCTGCAGATCGGCCTTCC